AGAAAAGAATACACTTGGCCAGACGCAGTGGTTCATGCTTGTAATCCCAGCACTTTGGGAGTCTGAGACAGGAGGATCACCTGAAGTCAGGAGTTCAAGACCAGCCTGGTCAACATGGCAAAACCCTGTCTCTACTAAAAAATACAAAAATTAGCCAGGCGTGGTGGCAGGCACCAGTACACCCAGCTACTCGGGAGGCTGAGGCAGGGAGAATGCTTGAGCCTGGGAGGCGGAGGTTGCAGTGAGCCAAGATTGTGCCACTGCATTCCAGCCTGGGCAACAGAGTGAGACTCCATCTCAGAAAATAAATAAATAAATAAAATAAAGGGAATACACTTAAAACAGACCAAAATACCATAACACAAAAATGAAAAGATTTGATCAAGATATATCATGGATGATGACATTTTTAAATCATGAAAGCAAGTTTCTTTTGTGATTTAATAAAACCTAGGTTCCATTTGTGACCGCGGGCTAATTCTAGGAATGAACAAAGAAATACATGAACAAACAAACAAATGAACAAAGAATAAATCAAATGTCAATTTGGGCTGAGTAGAGTGTTACGCGAGAATATCTGAGGGCATCATCCACTTTCTTAAGACACTCAACGTTCCTCTAACACTCACGAACGTCCTCCTCTTTTGAAAGGGTTCACCGTCATTCACTTGTTTCCTTGGTTGGTAACTACACGTCTAGGTCCTCGCTATATAGCATTACACTGTGAGACGTTCACAGCAAAGGTGGGTGGGTTCAGTGAGGGGGTCATGTTTTATACATGGCCAGTTCTCCGATGACTAATTTCTTATTGCCATCTACATTTGCTTCTGCATCTACCCTGAAACTGCAGAGATTTAGAAAATGAATATTGAAATAACAAGGACTCCTGCAATTTACAACAGGAAGGCTCTTTATCATGTATTCCTCTTGGCCAGTTGATGTTCAAGGTGGCTCTGAAATAGAATCTGCCTTTATGAGCACTTAAATATTTCACGTGGGGCCATTGTATCTCCCAGCTAGATCTGAGTCTCTCAATCTGGGCATTATTAACATTTCAGACCAGCATAAGTCCTTGCCAGGGACTGTCCCATGCATTGTAGGACATTTGGCAGCATCCCCAGCCTCTAAACATTAGATGCCAGTAGCATCCACTACCCCCACCCAATCAATCCAAAATGTCCCCAGACATTCCCCTGGGGGCGAAACTGCTCCCAGCTAAGAACAAGAGATCTCCACCATCAAGTCCTTAAGAGCTGACACTGTCACCCATTCACATCCCTGGGGTCGCCATGGCAACTAGAGTGAGTACCACGGTGGAAACCACACACTCAACCTAAAAGACCCATGTTCTTCCAAACGTAGTTCCACCACTCCCCCGCTGTGTGACCCTGGGCAGGTGACCTCACCTCCCTCAGGCTCAGTGTCCTCATGGTAAGTGGAAATAACAGTGACAGTGTCCACTGCGTGGGCCCTGGCCTAAGAGGACAAGAAACCACATTTGTCACACCCCAGGACAGCCCTGCCAAGTGCCCAATCAAGGGTACCTCTGAGGAGCCAACAGCAGATGTTCACACAAATGAACGAACAGAGAAATTCATGTCTTCTTCCCTCACTTTCCACAGCGATGATCAGAGTGGCAGCGTGGTGATATTTGGTGGCATTGACTCTTCTTACTACACTGGAAGTCTGAACTGGGTTCCTGTTTCTGTCGAGGGTTACTGGCAGATCTCCGTGGACAGGTGAGACTGCCATGGATGGACAGCATCCAGGCCTGCGCCCCAGATTCCATTTCCTTATGGATTCATAGCTAACCAGCTTTCCAGAATCCCCCCAGGAACAGCTGACACAGGGGAACACAATTCCGGGGGAAGGTGGAAGTTGTCCAGGCCAGAGAGACGCCCCTCCCTGGCGGAGGAGGGAAGAGCTGTCAAGGAAGCCGAGCCACTGTCCTCCTAGTCACGGAGGCAGGACAATCCACCAGCATCCCTGGGGAAAGCTGGGCGACCACCTGTCCACACATCTCAATTTAAGGGGCCTGGGACCCAGCACATGCTCCTCCAACTCGAGGAAATGTGTCACTTTCAGTCTAGAAGTAGGGCAAAATGGCTAAGAAATTACGTGAAGTCATTTCTCAAGAGTGAACAATTTCCCAGGACAAAGACTTTCCGTACTAAAACTAGGACCATCCCAGGCAAACCAGGACACATTGATCACCTCATGTCTGCCCAGCCATGCTAGAATTTCACCAGTTCCTCCAACTCCTGCCCCAGTCCTCTGGTCTCTGTCCCTTCCCGCATACCGTCCCCTGTTGATGTCCTCCTTCTCTCTTCACCTGCCTGGCATCCCTGGGTGTCTGCTCCGCTGGCTGCTTCCCTCCACCACCTCTCACCCTGGACCCTGTTTTGTTCCCTGCCGCAGGCCTGGCTTATCATCCTGCCCTTCTGCCACCATAACTTATCTTGACAGCCAGGCTGGGAGCTCCCTGCAGCCTGGAACTGTGAGGCTGTCTGGTTTAGCTTTGCGTTTCCCATGCCTGGGAGAGAGTAGGCACTTGTAAAATATTTGTTGGGTAAATGAATGCAGGATGAATGAGTATGTGAATGAGAGGAACAGAAATTTCACGCACTGGCCAATGGATGGGTGGGGAAGAAATGTCTGGGGTTACCTCCTGGTTCCTCCTTGGAGAGATGTACCCCTGAGGGCTCAGGGACCTTCACTTGCTTCTTGCCCTCAGCATCACCATGAACGGAGAGGCCATCGCCTGCGCTGAGGGCTGCCAGGCCATTGTTGACACCGGCACCTCTCTGCTGACCGGCCCAACCAGCCCCATTGCCAACATCCAGAGCGACATCGGAGCCAGTGAGAACTCAGACGGCGAGGTGAGTCCAGCCCCCGACGGCTCTGTTCTACACTCAAATAGTGGGTGTGCCAGGCACACGGGACCAAAACCCTTCCAACTTTTCTCACCTCACTCTTTCCAGATGGTGGTCAGCTGCTCAGCCATCAGCAGCCTGCCTGACATCGTCTTCACCATCAATGGAATCCAGTATCCTGTGCCACCCAGTGCCTACATCCTGCAGGTGCGGCTCTGGACCATCCACTAGAGGGGCTCACACAGAATGTGGCCACAGAGTCCCCCTCTGCAGAGGGAAAGTGCGCTTCCACCAGCTGAAGTCGAGAGGCAGAGGCAGACGAACATCTGCCCCAGACAGCTCCGGAGAGAAGGAACAGATTAAAAACAAACACAGAAATAAGAACTCGGATACAGCCCCCTAAGGGAACAAGTGAAGCAAAGGTTAATGGAGGGAAAAGAGGATTCTATTTGGACGCCTGGGTCCAAGTCCTGGGTCTGAATTACCAGCCCATTGATTCTCAGCAAGCCACA